AAAATAAATATGTTTCAATAACCTATCATCTGTGGTATCTTGATGTGTTGTGCATTCTTTTATGCTTCAGATGATTTGATGGTTATGTGACTTGTCAGCTACTTAAAGTAATGGTAATAATTTATTATGGTTTTTTTTTTTTTTTTCCCCCTCTATTACTTTTGAAGAACATAACTCTGATTTTAAACACTGAATCTACAGACCATGTTAAGAGCAAAGCAGCTTGGTACGCTATCCCAGTCTGCCAGATCATTTTTCCTAAGCGGGCCAAGATGCAGTGCAGCAGATTTGTTTTTCCTCTTGGTACCCATTTCCTTGGTGCTAGATGAATTATGTCATCTTCAGGGCCATGTTTCATTGTCGAGATTAAAATTTTTTCTTCTGTCATCTGGTGCTTAGCCGTATCTTGATGGTTTAATACACGATAACTTATTTCTTCATTGTTAATTTTAAATTCTTTTTGCGAAAAATAAATATGTTTCAATAACCTATCATCTGTGGTATCTTGATGTGTTGTGCATTCTTTTATGCTTCAGATGATTTGATGGTTATGTGACTTGTCAGCTACTTAAAGTAATGGTAATAATTTATTATGGTTTTTTTTTTTTTTTTCCCCCTCTATTACTTTTGAAGAACATAACTCTGATTTTAAACACTGAATCTACAGACCATGTTAAGAGCAAAGCAGCTTGGTACGCTATCCCAGTCTGCCAGATCATTTTTCCTAAGCGGGCCAAGATGCAGTGCAGCAGATGATAGTTCATGCACTTGCTCTGAAGATGAGACTTGTATTTCTAGAAGGTCTCTCAAAACAAATGTCCAACATTTGCAGGCATCTTCCGTCTTAGTAACTAAAGCTTCACTAGGAGTAGATTCACAGATTTCAACTGATGCAGGACAGGCAGTAAATTCCACAGTGGGTAGTTCTCCACCACAAGTAATACGGGTATCTCACTCACTGGAAAGAGGAACTTGTATTACTTATGCAGATGATGTGGATGCGAAGGAGATAATACATTCTTCACCTCCTATTACAGACCAAATTGTTAAGGCAGGTTTTGCGGCAGTAAGTGTTTTATCTGACTTGGTAAACAATAAGATTCCAGTTTTAGATGGAATGCTTAATACAACTCAGAACTCTGTGGTTGAACGTTCAAAGCCAATTTCTAGCATCAGAACAGTAAATGTGAAACCCTCTGGATCAAACAAAATCCATGGAAAATCATCTGCTGAGTCGTCCGAGTCTAACTTTACCAATGTCTCTTATGGTACAAAAGGTAAAGCTGATAAATGGGGTTCAGACAAAACGGTGAAGAAGGTGCCAAGTAATGGATCAGGGAATTTTGTAGATTCCCATGGTATCTCCTTGGAGGTTCGTGAGAGGAAAGGGTCAATACCTCAAAGATCAGGAACTTATTCAAACTACGTGGCTGACGTACAACATTTAGAGAGAAGGTGTTCTAGCAGCACACAGGAAGGGTTCAGTAGGCCCCTAAGAGAGACGAAAGTAATAACAGAAGCCGGGCCAGTGGCTAAGAAATTTTTGAGTTCTAGTAATGTGGTTGAAAGTGTTTTTCACATTTTACAGAATTTCAGATGGAGTCTGGCAACAAAAGAGGCTCTTGGAAATCTAAACTATTCAGTAGATGCCTACCAAGCAAATCAAATTCTTAAGCAGGTACAAGATTATAATGTGGCTCTTGGTTTTTTCAACTGGTTGAAACGACAACCAGGATTCAAGCATGATGGACATACATACACTACCATGGTTGGTATCCTTGGCCGTGCGAGGCAGTTTGGGTCGATAAACAAGTTGATGGATCAGATGGTCAGTCATGGATGTCCACCAAATGTTGTTACATATAATCGTCTCATTCATAGTTATGGTAGAGCAAATTATTTGAATGAAGCATTAGGTGTTTTTAGCCAAATGCAAAAAATGGGATGTGAACCTGACCGTGTAACCTATTGCACGCTGATTGACATCCATGCAAAAGCTGGGTATCTGGATGTTGCCATGGATATGTATCAGAGGATGCAAGAAGCTGGACTTTCTCCGGACACTTTCACTTACAGTGTCATCATTAATTGTCTCGGGAAAGCTGGCCACTTGGATGCAGCCGACAAGCTATTTTGTGAGATGGTTAGTCATGGCTGCATACCTAACCTGGTGACTTACAATATTATGATTGCTTTGCAAGCAAAGGCAAGGAACTACCAGAGTGCTCTGAAGCTATATCGTGACATGCAGAATGCTGGATTTGAACCTGACAAAGTAACTTACAGTATAGTTATGGAGGTTCTTGGCCATTGTGGCTATCTAGATGAAGCTGAGGCAGTTTTTGCAGAGATGAAGAGAAAAAACTGGGTTCCTGATGAGCCAGTTTATGGTCTTCTTGTCGACCTGTGGGGAAAGGCGGGGAAAGTGGAGAAGGCTTGGGAATGGTATCAAGCCATGCTTCATGCAGATTTACGCCCAAATGTTCCTACATGTAATTCTCTTCTTAGTGCTTTCCTGAGGGTACACCGTCTATCAGATGCATACAACTTACTACAGAGCATGCACAGTTTGGGTCTGAATCCTTCTTTGCAAACTTACACATTGCTCCTTAGTTGTTGCACAGAAGCCCAAACATCATTTCACATGTCGTATTGTCGTGAGCTTATGACAGTCACTGGCCACCCAGTGCATACATTTTTACTGTCTATGCCTACTCCAGGACCTGATGGGCAGAATGTGAGAGATCATGTGAGCAACTTCTTGGATATGATGCACAGTGAAGATAGAGAAAGTAAGAGGGGACTCATGGATGCTGTTATTGATTTTTTTCATAAGTCGGGGCTTAAGGACATAGCTGGATCTGTTTGGGAGGTGGCTGCACAGAAGAACGTCTATCCAGATGCGGTCAGAGAGAAAAGTTCATGCTACTGGCTTATAAACCTGCACGTAATGTCAAATGGAACAGCTGTGACTGCACTATCAAGAACACTTGCATGGTTTCGTAGGCAAATGATTGCCTCGGGGATTGGGCCACAACGTATCGATATTATCACCGGTTGGGGCAGAAGGAGCCGGGTGACAGGATCATCTCTTGTAAGACAGACCGTGCAAGAGTTGCTGAACGTTTTCGGGTTTCCTTTCTTCACAGAGAACGGTAACTATGGGTGCTTTGTAGCATATGGAGAGCCTCTCAACCGATGGTTGCTACAGTCTTATGTTGAGCGGATGCATTTGCTGTGAGTTTTTCAATGTCAAGGCTTTGTATTGCTGTATAAATTTTCGGCATGGGTGAGATACTTTGCATTTCCTCCTGCATTCGAATGCAGTAAACCTTATTTGCAGCTATTTAAATTTAGGTTGGCCAGCTTATAAATGTTTTTGCCAGTTTCGTGGTGTACAGTAATGTTTATGGATAATTACTTGGTCATGCCCTTTTTATATCTTTGTTTTCCAAATAGAAAATCTTATGGAAATTTCCTCAGGCATCTAATATTTTTTCAAGTTATTTTGGTCAGAGACTCAGAAAACCATCTTCTGAGCTGTCTGGTCAACCTCATGACTAAGCTAATTTTCCTCGAGTAACAAACACTAACGTTTTTTTTTTTTTTTTTTCTCAGTTCGCGTGTTTTACGTTAGTGTCTTTCACTAAAAAATTAGTAAGTAGGATCTTCGAAATCCGTCCGTCAATGAGGTAAGTCGAGTTATTCCTATATCAATAATATCGGAGTATAGGTTTACCTAGAATTCAAAGATCTTGTTTTCCATGGGGTAATAGTTCTTGAAAGTCTCGATGAGGATAAACGATGTTTTTAATGAGTGTAAATATAAAGATTCATAAACTCATCCAATTAATTTTGAATTATACAATTAAGCATTTTAACGCTAGAGGAAACAAAGACAGAAGTATTTTCAACTATATACTTTTGTAGTAAAATGTTTTGCACGTAAATTTAAGATTTTCTCATACTTGCAACTACACATTCTTTAAAAGTTCACACTGTTTCATAACTTATTTTCCTATTTTAATGATAGACAAAAAGGAACTAAATAACGTACAAGTGACTCCACCTTAAATACTAAATGATTAGCGCAGCTCATGAATAGCATTATTTTTCAGTTGATATATTTTTAAATTTTCATTAAAATTAAATAAAATACATGGTAAACACATTTCGGTTTTCTCGTCCAATCTATAACAAAAATAATTGTAATTCTTAGACTCGTTAAATAACTTTAAATAAAGTTGATTGACCATGATAATGGACACGTCTGACTCAACAGTAAGCCACTTTTATTTATTAGAAAAGAAAAAAAAAATTGCTTTTATTTATAATTTTGACAACTAAAATTGATTTCAATTGAACAATTAAACATTCGATTTTTTTACCTTTTTTTTTAATCCAACTCGAAATTGCGAGTTAATTATCCAAACAGTCACCAAACTTTGCCAAAAATTTCTAAGAGGTCACTGAACTTTACCAAAAGTTCCTAGGAGGTCATCAAACTTCAAAACTTCCCTAAATAGTCACTAAACTTTGCAAAAATTTTCGAGAGAGTCATTCAACTTTACACATTAGTACCCCATATATCACTGGTTTAATGATTCCCTGAGAACTTATTGCAAAGTCCAGTGATTATTTAGGGAAGTTTTGACGTTTGATGACCTCCTGAAAACTTTTGACAAAGGTCAATGATTATTTATGAAAGTTTTGAAGTTCGGTGATCTCGTGTAAACTTGTGGCAAAATTTAGTGACCATTTGGGGAATTAACTCTCGAAATTGCTTTCGAAAACATTTCCTAAGACCCCCCCCCCCAACTGTACCCCCTTCCCACACACTTTCTCCTTAACTAGGTGATTAACTCCCTAACAAACATCTGAGGCCAATAATAGTATGACACGTGTCTATTTGTAAACTAATCAGTTATTAATACAACTAACTCTAAAACTTCAAGTTGTTATTGTTTCCCGCCTCCGATCGATATATAATGTGTATATATACAACTTCGTCCTTTCTCTCTCTCTAAATGTGCGAGTACAGTTCGATTTTATGCAGCCATTGAATTGCTTTCTGGTGAAATTGAAATGGGGCCTAGGAAGCGAAACATTACTCCTCGCACCGCCGCCGCTGTAGACGGAGGCGCAAAAACTGAGTCCCCGAACTTAGGAAGTAGCGACAATGCATCGCTTTCATCCTTTGCTTCAATCAAAGTCGAGTACGAGAGAGCACTCTCTGCTCTTCGCCGAGGGAACCACGCGAAAGCCCTAAAGTGGATGAACAAATTGTGCTCAGAACACGAGAATTTGGCCTTGATTCACCATGTCATGGGGAATGTTTGTGCGGTTGCCTCGTATTTCACTGACTCGAATGCCAAACAGGGTCATTTGAAGAAAGCAATAGAGAGTGCAAGGAAGTCGGTCACATTGTCCCCGAATTCTATTGAGTTTTCTCAATTCTATGCGAATTTGTTGTTAGAGACAGCAAACGAGAGGAAGGACTATGAGGAGGTGGTGCAGGAGTGCGAGAGGGCTTTGGCAATTGAAAACCCCACGGACCCAGCCAATGAGACCCTACAGGAGGAGAGGTATCTGAACATTTCCTCAGCTGAAGCTCGAGTTGCTCATGTCCAAAACGAGTTAAGGTGTTTGATTGAGAAGTCTAACATGTCATCCGTTTCGACCAGGATGAAGAATCTGGGCAGCGAAGAGAAGTTTGGGTTTATTCCAATGGAATTGAAATCGGTAATGGGGAGAAGGACAAATGAGATTAAGAAGGCAACTAAGACTCATGATGAACGTAGGCAGGAGATTGAGGTGAGGGTGGCTGCTGCTCGGCTTCTGCAGCATAAGTCCGGGTCTCCTCAATGTAATAATAGTGATAGTAATGAGGGGTTGAATTCTACTTCAAGGATGGAGCAGAGAGAGGGAGGAAGAAGCAAAAGTGGGAATGCCAGGAGATATAATTCTTTGGTTGAGATAAGGGACAGAGTTCGTTCTTTTTGGAACTCAATGGATTTGGTTCAGAAGAAAGAGTTGCTTAGAGTTAGAATTTCAGATCTCAAGAAACATTGTACGTTAAAGGAAGGGTTGCTTGATGAAGCTTTATCTTTTGGGAAAGAAAATAAGGCTTGGAAATTTTGGCTGTGCTATCACTGCAATAAAAAAATTGTGGATGCAGATAAACACAGACAGCATGTCATTAAGGAACATATGGGAACTTTATTACATGAATATTGGTTGATTATACCCAAGAGAGTGAAGGGTGAGTGGGCTGAGATGCTTCTTAATTGTTCATGGAAACCATTGGATTTAGACGCTTCAATCAAGATGCTTAATGAACTTTCAAAATTTGAGGCACCTAATTTCCTTGATGAATCGAACCCAAGAAACCACAAAGATGATTCATCACCTCGAAAAACGAAATTGGATGATGAAGGCCCTAAGAAAAGTTTCCTTGATAAAAACTGGCCTTCAACTGATGATTCAAAATGTGCGGAACTTCTGGAAAGCATCCATGCCAAATTCCAGCTACTAATCCAACACAACCATCTAGCCTTAAGTCATCAAAGCCATGTTATACAGTATGCAGTTGAGGCGCTGCGGCGTCTTCCTGATTGTTCTCAACTCATTAACTTCAATATGGACCAAACATCTCTATGTATCTGCTTTCTGGGTGCTCCTTATCTTGAGAAAATCTTGAATTTTTTGCAGATAATTGAGCAGGAAATTTTAGAGTGTGAAAAATGGAATTTCATGGGTTCAGTCAGTGGTACTCAGATTGTTGCAGCTATGGAGAAGATAACTTCTAATCTAGATGACTTACATTTGGAGGTTGATGAGTGTTTCCTTCACTGCAAGCTCAATACTTCATTGTGTGATGATTCTTCTAGTTCAGCAACTTCATCGCACGTCTGCTATGAGAGCAGCGATATTATGCTTGGTTCAGATGTACTGCTATCCTGGATATTTACACGACCCTCTATGGAAGAACTATTGGTATCCTGGGCATGTGCAAAGGAAGAGAAAGAACAAATAGGTAAGAAGATTCTTCAGTTATATGAGAAGAAATTCTACGACCTACAGAGCTTTTGTGGGAGAAAATCTGACCAATTAAATTACGATAAGGCATTGCATGCTGTGGACAATCTCTGTCGTGACGAGTTCTTTAAAAGAGAACGTGTAGTAGATTCTGTCCCTCAAAGTTATGGCTCTGTCCTGAGGAAGAGGCGAGAAGAGCTCATTGGAAGTGACAATGGATATACTGTTATTGCTGATGTAATCAACAATAGGTTTGAGCTGCATGCTATAGCGAATGTTCTAAAGGATGCAGAATCTGGTGATCATGATGATTGGAGAACAAGAGACGATTTGCATCAGGTGGACTCCTCCATAAAAAGTGCAATATTCAGACAGAAAGACATTGTGACTTTAGAGGTTGTAGTGTTAGTTTTACTTTCTCTTTTTGTTGTTAAGACCAAACTATGTGTACACTTTGCTGGTTATCTCACTTTTCTCATCAATACAGCTCCATAAAGTTGATGCAAGGATCCTGCACGTAATTAATTTGATGCACCAGTTGGAAGTTAAGCTTGATGCTGCATCTACTCATGATTTCAGATCAATCTTGGTGCCTCTAGTGAAATCATATTTACAGGTAGTATATGGCATAATATGTTTTTACACAAACCCCTCAACCTTTCTTGTATCATATAACAGTTGAATTAGAGGTTCTTTTCTTCACCTTTTTACAGGCACATTTGGAGGATCTGGTAGAGAAAGAAGAGGCCACAAAGAAATCTGATGCTGCCAGAGAAGCACTTTTGGCAGAACTTGCTGTTGAATCTGAACGGGGTTTTGGTGGAGAAGGGGATAATTCAAGACATATGCAAGAGAGGATAAAGGATAAGAAAAAGAGAAAGGAGAACAGGAAAAACAAGGATTTGAAGGTTCGTAACGCATGATGATAATACTAGTTATTTATCATAAATAAGAACTGTAGAATGCATAGTTATTGTTTACCTCTTGCACTCCAAATTTTACAGGGCACTGGTAGTAAGGGGCGGCTCATGATTCATGATCTGACATCTGAAGAGATGTATCTCTCTTTTACCATAGCCTATTTATGTGCATGTTCTCCATTTAAATGCATTTGAATAATATGTTGTATCTTTCCATTTCCTATGTCAATGCAGATCTGGGACTTGTGTTGCTATAAGACAACAGGAAGAGGAATATGAAAGACAAATTGAAAATGCTGAAAAACAGAAGCATCTTGCAGAGCCACCTATGTCTTCAGAAAAGGAAAATGATGAAGTTGGTCATCTGGGACCTAACCACACACCTGATGGTGACCAAGGTGAATTTTATTTTTGCAGCTTGTTATTTGGGATGTTTATTTAGCCGAAATTTGATTAGCATTTGAATTATGAACACTCAAGTTTTGATCTATGATGTTCGTGCGGTATAGATATAGTCTATAATAAGAGGGGGGATTAAATAGAATGTTTGTTTGCCTAATTTTCAAATCTAGCTAATTTTGCTCAATTATGTTAGCATTGCTTAATGATTCAATCAGGCTAAATACAGACAAATCAGTCTTAACAATTTCAAAACAGATAGAATGGAACTCATCTTCCTTGATTTCTTAATATTCATAATTTATGTTCGGATCATCTTATTTAATATTCACATGATAAATTGAAGCTAATGTATGTGTCTTATTATCTTTTTCGTTCTGCATGTCTAAGGGGAATCGACTTAGTTACATGTAAGCCAACTATAAATATAGTTTCAGTTCAAGTGACCTTATTTTTTGAGAAGAAGTCTTATTAAATATATTTGTTTATAAAATTTATTTTTGTTTGTCAACTAGTCAGCTTTTGGTTTCGCCTAGTAACAGAGATTTATGCATTCAATTTTGTTTTAGCGAGCTCACTTTTTAATCTTCAAAAATAATATTATTTCTTCCTTCTTCAGTCAGTTCCTTTTTCACTCTTCCGTTTTATGGGAGGATCTCTCCAATTTGTTAAAGTAACATGATGTTATCTATATTACTAACATTAGAATTAACATATAAACAGGGTATTCCTTTGCCTTCATGGCCTGAGGTTGAATATGTTCATCTATCATACTTTCAGTTAATTTTTGGTTAATTTTTTTTTTTCCCCTTTTTTTCTCTGTTGTTCTGTTTATTTCTCTTAGAAAGCAGTACTGAAGTACTTTCTGTATTGCTGAGCAAATTTGAACAAGAAACATTATGTAGATTGGTAGAAGCTTGCTATTGTCTTATCCATCCCATCAATTCTGTGGAAAGAAGCTGTCTCTACATATCTCCATATATAAACAATTTATGCAGCTGAAGTTGCTTTGTCTATTTCCTCATAGTTTCTCAGCATTGTATTCAATATTTTACGTCAGACACGTTTTATGCATATTGAATATTGCCTTTGATGTTGACTTTAGCACTGCCACGAAAGAAGTGTCCAGATATAGATGAGTTCGAATTTTCATCAAAGAAAGTCATGGCTGATAGTGTTAATGTAATGGATATGTGTGGCCCTGGTCTGAAAAATGAAGTTGGTGAATATAATTGCTTTCTCAACGTCATAATACAGGTTGGAATTAGAGAGCATGCTTTCTTGTTGTTTCGTAAGCGTTTTCTTTCGTAATAATAAATTTTTTTAGGCCTGAGAAATTGATTCTTTATTGGAATTCAGTCCTTGTGGCACTTAAAAAGGTTTCGAGATGAATATTTGAGATTATCACCGGGACATGTTCATGTTGGTGATCCTTGTGTTACATGTGCTTTACATGATATTTTCATTTCCCTGAGCAAGCCACCTACAGATACTCGAAGAGAAGCTGTTGCTCCTACATCTTTGAGGGTTGCTTTGAGCAACCTGCATCCTGATAGTAAATTCTTCCAGGAGGTAAAACACACCATTTGCATTGGTTTTCCTTCATTTTAGCCGTTTCTTCATTTCCTCAACAGATTGTAATCCAAATTATTTCTTGATTCCTGTTTATTGTTTTGGCAAATCTTCAGGGACAGATGAATGATGCTTCTGAAGTTCTGTGGGCAATATTTAATTGCCTTCATCAATCATTCCCTTGCGAACCTGCTGTAAGGGTGGGCGACTTGGATTGCAATGGTTTACCCTGTATTGCACATTCTCTTTTTGGAATGGACATACTTGAAATAGTGAAATGTGACAATTGCGGTTTGGAGTCCAGACATCAAAATTATAAATCATTTTTTCATTATATCAATGCCAGTGCTCTCAGAAGGATGAAGGCATGTCTTTTTAGATGATAGTTTTTCAAATAATGGTCCTAGTTCCTTGATTTATGAAATGGGGTTGCTAAAATATATTTACCTTACCATTTCAGGACATGAGCCCAAAAAGCTCCTTTGATGAGCTTTTATACCAAGTTCAGACTATCGACCAATTAGCTTGTGATCCAGAGGTTGGGGGCTGTCGAAAGCTCAACTACACTCACTATGTTCTCTCAGCTCAACCCTATGTTTTCACAGCTGGTAAACTCCCTGTTACATTTTATCTTTACCTATACATTTCTTTATTTCTTGTGTGTGCCTGAATGGAGCTCAATTTAGTAAACTGAATCACCACTTTACTTATTTTGGATCGCATGAGATGCTGAATTTGATACATGGCTTTACTTTTCGTAGTTCTGGGTTGGCAGAATGCTTGTGAATGTGTTGATGACATAACAGCAACATTAGCAGCCTTTACCACTGAGATTGATATCAGTGTACTTTATCATGGTCTTGACCAAAAATGCACACATCGCTTGGTTTTTGTGGTACGCTTAAGTCTTTTTCTTTGTAGTTTCTATTTTACATATTTTGCTTTTGCGAAACTTTCTAAGTGGGGGCTTTATTCTTGTGCACTAGAGATATCATCTTTAAAGCAGTCTATTGATTTTAACTGAAAGAGAAGGAAAAAAATGTAAATGAATGTGCATAACTATCTTGGTAAGCACTGATATTGATTCTTTTGAAAGCACTAGGACATCAAATTGTAAGTGTTTGTGTGTGTGTGTGTGTGTGTGTGTGTTTTTTCCTTTTTTGATTCAGTGAATTACAGTAATCTATCCTAGTTAAAATAAATCATCAATGGCCTGGTTGTACAAACGTCAAGGACAAACCATCATTTGCTTCAGATAGCTGCTTGTTTCACCTTTTTTGGGTGGATGGAACATTTCATATATGAGAAGGAAAAATAAAAAGGATTCTTCTGCTTGCCTTCTTCGTTCAGAGTTAGAAGATGGCTAGAAACTAGTTGGGGGGGGGGGGGGGGGGGGGGGGGTTTTTTTAGTTGGGGAGGGGGAGGGGGGGGGGAAGGTTTCTTTGAAGAGTAGAACATTTGTTCTTCGATGACTAATAGCCATCTAGTAGGTCATACATTTTAACTCGCTCTATAGTCAGTGACAGATCTAGGTAGTGACAAGTTAAGCGGCCGCCCTAGCTAGATCCGTCGGAAGCATTTTTTTTGGGCTGATAATAGATTAAGGTTTTAGCTTATATTACTTATAATTCTTTCTTTTTTCAAACTCGCCTTCTGGTTGAAATGGTTAGAGCTTACATGTATGTTTTGCAAGTCTCGGTTTCGAATCTTTTCACAGCCAATTTATTGTGCAATTTTTTTAGTTTTACAATTTCTACCAAAATTAATGCAATAGGAAAGGGTTGGATGAGATTCGAACCATGAGCTCCTATTTTGAACATTGACAGCCTGACTACTCTGACAACCATTGCGCTTGACACAATTCAACAAAATAATATATATTACATTTATTGGGTTTAATGAAATTATAAAGATTCAAAATCATGCTCTTCCTTTAAATTATACGAAACTTGGCAACAATGTCATTTGGTAAATGTACGATTTATTCTTATAACAAAATTATATATGTTCAATATGAACAAAATAATTGTCATATTTAAATTTTAAGCCTTGTTTTATTTTCATTTTTTTTCAAAATACATTTTTATTTATCTTATTTTTAACCATACATTTTTCAATAAAATAATATTACATGCAAATTTAAAATTTTTTCCTTATTTTTAACCTCACGTTTACCATTAAATCACTATTTCAAAATGCATTTTTTGCTTCAAAAAGGACATCAAACGGGTTCTTAATACTTTATTACGGCTGACGGCAATCAACGGCCGCCCCTACTGACTCAAAGTCCTAGATTCGACACTGTCTGTAGTTTATGATCATATACCATCCTTGTAGCCACTTTTCAATTTATTCGTCCTAATATCATCTCATATTTTTATCCTCTTTAGTCGAACCGAAACACTAAGAACATTTTTCCTTATTCCTCCCATGACAGCTATTATTTCTATTTATATGTTATTTTTTTTTTTCGAAGCATATCCTTCAATCCTTACTCTCCATTCTCATAACAATAAAGAGGAATTATTTTCTCTACTGCTCAGCATTCATTAGTTGAACAACTTTGAAGTCAGGCAACTATTTTTAACACAGACTTGCCAGATTTTTTTTATCCATTCAAATTTTGTCATGTTTAGGTTTGCTTTTATGGGCAGCACTATGTTTCTTTTGCCTACAAGCACGATCATCAACAGTGGATCATGTATGACGACGAAATTGTAAAGGTAATTGCCTTCTATTGCCATGTATTCCTTCATTTCATATTTGCAGCTAATCTATAATGGTTATCTGATGTCTAGGAAATTGGAGGCTGGAATGATGTTCTTAATATGTGTGAAAGAGCACTCCTGCAACCACAAGTCCTCTTTTTTGAAGCTGTAAGCTAGTACAAAAAAACAGATTTGAATATGTTTACTGTAGGTATGCAGTTGAGGACGGGCAGTTTGAGCCCAATGAAGAATTTTGATATCTGGCTGTGCAGGTTGATATAAAGGCCTGAATTGTACATAGAGGAGTAAGGTTTGTAAAGTAGTTCGACCAAAGATAGGGAAAACAGGAGCACCTACTGTTTATGGATACGAAAATTGTATACAAGAAACTCTTATGGTTGACATTCTTATCTGATTGTTTTCCGAGGATAGTTGTGTATAAAGCGAAATTTGACTCCTTGTATTCAGCTAATGCGGCCTACAGTAACATCCCACTTCTCAAACTAGTTTGCCTACGTTGGGAATCTACTTAACATGTGCAGCGAAAAATTAAAAACAGATTTCGATTCTCACCAAGAATCACCTTTGTGTTTAGATAGAAATTGTGATAAAGATGTACCTTTACAAGATCTACGAACTCCTTTGTCATATCTTTGTTCCAGCAACTTGGATCTGTTTCCCACAGCTGTTCAATTGTCCAGCCTCCAACGGTGATCCACATAGAGAACAGATTGTCGCATTAGAGTTTTCTTCTTGTACTAGCAAGAATAATAAAATCACTTCAATTTTGAAAATCCTAATCATATTTATATAAGCCCGAACGGGTTTGGCATGATCCGGTCCAACATTTAATTAACCCATTTAATTAAATTCGATCCGTGAACTAATTAATTCAATTAATTAATTCGGCCCTATAAATATGCAATCCAATTAATTAATTTATCCAACGCTTGTTAAATTAATTAATTGATAAATTACAATTTTCCAATTCTCCTTTTGTGTGCGACCCATTAGGTTCTCGATCATTATGCCTAACGACGTGAAATATTAATTTGATCTAATCAAAACTGATAAATTAAAACACCCTTTTAATTTATCACCAATTTACACTCGCCGTCCCAGATTGACATCTAACAATGTGTCAGGGCAATACATATGACGGAAAATATCACGTGGTATGACAAAACCAAACTCGTTCATTTACCGTGAAACTATAATCTATTCGTCAATATGATCTGATCAATTACGAGATATGGAAGTGTGTCAATCTCGATTATCGATCATATCTTTCACTCCACTATTAAGTCAATATAAGTCAAAAGCTTCTTTTCGACTTATGAGTACACATTGGCCAATGATTTTATTATCGACTTAATTGAATGAAACGCAGATCATAATCTCCTACTATCTAAGAGTGACGAATCCTTTATTGGTCAATCACAACCTTCATACGATTCTTGACGTACCCGAACGATGTCGTATTAGTGGCCCTTTGCAGAGCAGCATTCAACACCGTCAAAGTATGACTGTCATCATATAAGGTATCATGACAACCTCAAGTCAAAGGACCAATTTCATTACCGAACGTTAGAGATTAACCACTGACACTTAGATAGTTATCCATGTCGAATCTCTCGGTGGGTCTCCAATGTTTTCTTCTACAACAAAACATCAACGTATTCATTTAAGTATCACCACACTTTAGCTTGTGAGACCAACTACTTACTTCACAAGCAAGAAATGCTACGCGCGATGGTCTATCCGTAATAACGATATCCGTATCTCGTTATTATTTACGATCACGGACGATTTAAGATTCAATAATATATAATTTGTATCTCACAATCACAACTCTTTGTGGTTAACAAATTACAAAGATTTGAATTTACGGACTCTATTATTTATTTAATTGTCTATTAATTAAATAATAGATCTGTCATTAAATTATATTAATTATATATCAAAAGTATTTATATCTAAGGTTGATTGGACCTAGGGTATAACACTTACAAACTCCCACTTGCACTTGATCCAATCACTTATGTAACCAATATCATAAGAGTTTACATAACGATCATGTTTATGCTAGACAACTCTTTGTCAGTGGATTTGCAATATTGTTAAATGTGAGAATTTTTTCTTCTCTTCACGTCATTTCTATATATTATCTCTCTGATGAGATTATACCGCCTTAATACATGTTTAAATTATTGATAAGACCTTATTTCCTTCGCTTTCGCTATGCCTCAATTGTTATCACAATACAATGGCATGTGATCAACAATATCAGGAACTACTCCAAATTTATTTATGAACATCATGATCCACATTGCTACCCTTTGCTACTTCTGAAATAATTATGTATTAGGTTTTTGTTATTGAATCAACGATTGCTTTACGTTTGGAACCCTTCCAACACACCGTTTAAGAATAAACCAATTTCTCCATATAAAATCTTCTCAATATATAGATTGGGACGAGTTAAGCAATCTTTTATATTTATCTCTATAGATCAAGTTGCTTCCCCATATCTTTCACGAATAAATCCTTTAACAACCATTATTTCAATGATTGAAACATAGGGATGTCGTTTTCTATAATATTAGGAATACGACAATGCTCCAACTATCTTCTTGTAAACACACAATTCATTTTCAAATTTGATAAAATCAAACACTTTGATTTTTTCATCAAATCGAAGATTTAAGCTCGAAGAGACTTTTCTTCACCTATAGTCACGATATGCAACTGCTGCAAGCAAAGCCCGAATGGACTTTAGTAAGGCTATAGGAGAAAGGTTTTACCAAAGTCAACACTTAACCTTTACTACTAGCCTTACTTTGTATATATGGATCTTTCCATGCATATCGATCTTTTCCTCGTAAACTATTTACAAAAATTTATGGGTTTTATTCCATCAGGAGGCTCAACCAAGGTCCAAACCTTGTTCATATACACCGAGTTTATCTCGAATTTCATGTCATCTTGCTGTCTCTTTTAAGTCAACACTTGACTTTATTTTGGTGCAACTGGCAGGTTCATTATCCTGGATCAATAATACCTGATTAGTAATCATGGATTCACACCTTCTTGAAGGTCGAATGATCCTACTAGATTCACATATAGCTGACATACCCTCAGGACTCTTTACTTCCTAATCAAAAGTATGTCTCATATAAGATATGTGATCAAACTCGAATTTATCTTCTTGATTAACTATATCCGTGGACTTTTGAACTCTTTCAAGTTCTATTTGGCTCTCATTGTCATCTCCTAGAGTAAACATTTTCTCTAAGAAGACGATATATCGTGAAACGAAGACTTTTTTCATGATAATAGAATTTATATTCAAATATCTGCTTTGAATATCCACAAATATGTATTTATCAGATTTAGTCTCAAACTTATCCGATTTAAGGCGCTTCAAATATGCGTTATGGCCCAAAACTTTCATATGAGACAAATTGGGACTATTGTCTTTCCATAACTCGTATGGAGTTCTGTTAGCCAATTTAGATGTGACATGTTTTAGTGTGTTGCACACTGTAATCAGTGCATGATCCCAAAACGATTTTTGGAGATTTGTATGGCTTGTTATTAATCTCACTATATCTAATAGTTAATGATTCCTCCTTTAAGATACACCACGATGCTGCAGTGTATATGGAGGAGTCCACTGCAAGAGAATCTCATTCTCTCTTAGATAATCTAGATTTTATCTTTAAGATGCTCTCACTTGATCGAATTTTAATGTGAGGGTATCTTTACATATTTGTTTCTCTACTTCTAGTTTGAATCTCTTGAACTTTTCAAGAGTTTCATGTTTGAGTTTCATCAAGTATACATGATCATTGATGAAATAAGAGAAACATTACCTGACATCAATTGGCATGAGTCCATATGCATCACTATGCATTAGACCAGTAATTATACTGGCCTTTCTTCTTTTTAAGTAAAAGAAGATTTGATCATTGTGTCAGACATGCATAATTTGTACTTGTCAAAATCAATTAATCCCGAGTATAAATCTTTATGTAACTTTGGAATTACATTTCATCTATATGACAAAGTCTGTCATGTCAGATTTTGGTAATAATTAGATTATCGCATTTATGCCTTATAATTTCTATACTCATTATAGAATCCTTAGTATTAAAAAATATAAACTTCGTTTTGTAATTTACCATGGCCATTAGGATCTTTATCAAGATAAACAAGAACAACAATTGTCCTTAACATTAAAATAATTCACATCCGAACATGAAATTCATTTTAATATTCCTACTATGGTGGGTATAAAGCGACATTTCTCTAATTCCAATACTAAACTAAAAGGCAATTGTAAGAAGTATATGTCAACAGGCAATGCAGCAACATTTGCTCATCTCCAATGTGTAGGTCAACTTCTCCCTTTCGCAGTGGTCTATTTTTATTTAGTTTTTTCATATTTGTATAAATATGAGATCTACATCTGGTATCAAATACCTAAGAAACTCGTGAAGTTGACGTAAGCCACGCAATATTCCTTCCAATGACCTTTCATTTTATAATGAAACCAAGGGTCATTAGATTTGGTATTGCCATTCGCTTAGATTGTCTTAACCATATTGGGTGCTTTCCCAAAGTCCCTTTAGACTTCCTCTTAATACCCTTAGAGGAATCAATGGTTTGCCTATTTCTAACTTTGTTATTGGGCATAACAGTCTGAAGCATGTTAAACAACTTAATGAGTATGCATTCGAGCTTATTTATATCATAATTCATAATTAGTAGCGAATAGCTCTTTCCTACAGAGATTGCCGAACAAAGTCAATACTTAGTTCATAATTCATGATTGAACTTAATTGAGACACTTCTCAACATCAATCACCTTCAGTACCTTAGCAATTACTGAAGATCACTGTCATTTTGCATCGGTATAGTTGTTTGGAAGTCTCGTATCCTTCCACACATGATTATTATCATACAACTCTTTAAAATGAAAAATCATGCGTCAACATCTATACTCTTAATTTGCTTTTATAACTCAGGTGACGTAATGCAAACATCACACATGTTGCAGTACTATCGTCATCACTGTGTTTATTACAGTAGCCACCTCTTCTTTAATCAAGTCATCAGCAGGTGTCTCTGGAAATGGCTACTTAAGGACGTGACCAATTTTCTCATGCATGAAAACAATTCTCAAATTGCGGTGTCAATTAAGAAAATCTGGTTTGATTGTTGGCATCTAGTATGCCATTCAAAACATATGATTACTTAAGATTCAATATAAACGACGAAAAGAGAATGAATAATATATCAAATGCACCAATTAATTTAACATGAATTTTTATTAAATTAATTATGCTCCCACTGTTTAACTAAAATTTATGGCTTACTCACATTAATTTATAGAGTCCATACTTGACTCTCAGTGGGCTAGGATCCCATCTATTATATTAAGACCTTGAGTGT